TCCTACAGAAAGCATTGTAAAAACACCACCAAGCCTTCGCAGACGATACTAAGGGCATCCCAGATTTCATGCCCAACACAATGAGCGTCTAAGGTGGAGAACGGTCACCTCTTCCTCCCCTCTCCACTCACCCAGGTCTCTTCTTTGGAACCTTTCCGCTTCCAGGAAGCCGTGAATGACAACAAAACACCTAAGCCAGTTCGGAGTGATGGCATGTGAGGAAGGTCGGGACAGGTCTGCTTATGACATCAGAGGTAGCTTTGCAAATAAGAACACTCCTACCATCTCCAACCCGTGCGTTCCCTTCGAAGGTAGCAAATAGACTATGGTAGCAAAAAGGTAGTAGCCCTTAGAGAGATGGCAGTTGCTTTGTAGCTGATTGTGCTCTGGGGAAGCCGGGGGTCGCGATGGGAGCAGCAGCCAATGAAGAGCAGGATGGGACGAGTGGGAGAGAACCTCCATGGACATGGTTAAGTGAAGGCAGTTGGGGAGATGCCACCAAAGGGCTGGGGGCAACCTGGAAACCTCTCTGCAGACATCTGGACCACAACGCCCATCACCCCTAGGGCTGATTGGGTGCTACAGTCCAAAACACCCAGAGGTACCAGATTGCCCACGACCCACCTACCGTGTCCCTCCTCTTGTATAGCTCATGCAATGCAGGTAGGGCAAATGTAATCCTTGAACCGAGATGGTCTTCCATTCCTACGTCCTACAGAGAACATCATCCTTGGCCTCATTCCTTCTAAACTGGAAAGGGATGTCATCTGTGGACTTGTCAGTTAAGGCTAAGCTCCAACCCTTTCATCTTGACAAGGTTATGGAGACATTAAGATCAGAAGTTTCCCCCCATCCTTTCCCTTGGTTGTTCTTAAAGAGCTGGGCCCTTGGTCTTCTGCTGAAAGCTACATTTACCAGGACATAATTTCTGAGGGCTGTAAAATCAATAGGGCAATCCATCCTTTCTACCAGCTCCCCTTTCCCTATGAACTCTAGGTCTCTCCCTCTCTCCCAGGGCTGGCTCAAGACATTTTGCTGCCTGATATATAAAAAAAGAGTGGCTGATGGGATTCGTTGTGTGTTTTCCCTCAATCATAGCTTTGGGCAATGTCCTTCTTTCTCTACTCCTGCAGCAAGCTAACTTAAGGGAGTTTGGTGCAAATGGAATGGCTTTTAATACATCTGTCCTCCTTTTCCATTGAAATCCCCAAACTATGATATGAGTCTGAAGGCCAACCATGGTTCTCCTCAGCCCTAGGTTGACCATTCATGAGAAAGTGGGAAGGTAGCATTTGGTGGGATTCATCATCCACACCAGGCATGGGCAAACTTGGGTCCCCCAGGTGCTTTGGATTTCAACTCCCACAATTCCTACTTGGGTCCTTCAAGTGTTTTGGATTTCAACTCCCACAATTCCTACTTGGGTCCTCAAGAGCCGAACCCAACTTCATTCCCTCAACTGGAGTTGCCCCAACATCTTCCTGGGATTTAGGGAGGAGAGCCACATTGACATCAGCAGAAACGGCCCCTTTGGATCTTGAGCAATGGGTTAATAATGGTAGCAGGGTGCATGGTCAAAGCTAGTTCCTAGCAAATGGCAAAGAAGGGAAATATCTCTGCAAGATCACGAGGGAAATGCAACAGGACACCCAGCCCTAAGTGAGATGGTTCTTGGTCTGGCTGGCAGACTTGCAAGAGAAAGACAACAGTAGAAGGCGAGAAATTGCCTTGTACCAAATCACAGGAAACTGTGCCTCCCAGGTGGGCTAGAAAAGCCACGATCTAGAAGCCTTGTGGAGTTCTGTCATTTCTTGGCTTGTGCCCCACTTTTGTGAGGACATGGTTGTAGCTCCTACTTCTGGCCACATGGAAATGGGCCACATGACTGCTTGGACTGGTTGTCCTAAAGCAGGCATGGGCAAATTGGGCCCTCCAAGTGTTTTGGACTCCAATCACACAATTCCTAACAGCCTCAGGCTCTTTCCTTTCCCCCCTCAGCCACTTAAGCGGCGTGCTGGGCCCATAACCAAAGTTAAGCTGAGTGCTGGGCCCATAACCAATATTATGCTTTGCTGCTATGCGTAATGCAAGCATGCTTCCTCTAAAGCAGGCATGGGCAAACTTGGGCCCTCCACATGTTTTGGACTCCAATTCCCACAATTCCTAACAGCCTCAGGCACTTTTCCTCCTCAGCCACTTAAGCGGAGTGCTGGGCCTATAACCAAAGTTAAGCTGAGTGATGGGCCCATAACCAATGTTATGCTCTGTTGCCTGTGCAGAATGCAAGGAAGCTTCTTCTACAGCAGGCATGGGCAAACTTGGGGCCTCCAGGTGTTTTGGACTCCAACTCCCACCATTCCTAACAGCCTCAGGCCCTTTCCTTTTCCCCCTCGGCCGCTTAAGCTGAGTGCTGGGCCCATAACCAATGTTAGGTTCGGTTGCCTGTGCGTAATGCAAGCAAGCTTCCTCTACAGCAGGCATGGGCAAACTTGGACCCTCCAGGTATTTTTGACTCCAACTCCCACAATTCCTAACAGCCTCAGACCCTTTCCTTTTCCCCCTCAGCCGCTTAAGTGGCTGAGGAAGGAAAGGAAGGGGCCTGAGGCTGTTAGGAATGGTGGGAGTTGGAGTCCAAAATACCTGGAAGGCCCAAGTTGATTTATTTCTTCCGTAGGGAGAATTTTGTCTATGCTGACGATTGTGCCATCACCACTCAAGCAGGGAGCTTAAGCAGCTGAAGGGAAAAAGGAAAGGGCCTGAGGCTGTAAGGAATTGTGAGAGGTGGAGTCCAAAACACTTAGAGGGTCCAGGTTGGCTCACACCTGTCCTAAAGCATGTAGTCCCCCCAACCCAATGTCTCTTCTTTCCTTGCCAAGAATGGTAAGAAGTGGAGCTCAGCTCCTAGCCCTCTTCCTACTTTGCCATCTCTGTAACTCCCGTATAGGTCTCTGTATGTATGCAGCTTTCCCTCCCTTGCATATAGATAGATATATATGCATATATATGTGTGTGTGCGCGCACATGCCTTTCTCTTTCGTCTTAAAAAAAGTCACTTTCACAAGGTCACTAAAGTCGATTGTCTTTTTTGTTTTTTGTTTTGTTTTGTTTAGGTTTCATCTGTTTCAAAGAGAGGGCTTCTTCTATGTTAAATGCTAACCACTCTACAAAAAGCATTCTGTTCTAAACCGCTAGGAAAATGTTAACAATGAAGCAGAATTTGAAAAAAAGGAAAAGGGAAAAAGAAGAAGAAGAAATCCAGTGGCCAAGCGACCGCATTAGGGAATGTAGACCACGAAGGAGGACAGGACGATTCCTGGTCCTTCGTGTACCTTGACTTTCTGTCACATTTATTTGGCACTTTCTCTGATCCTGTTTCCCTTGGCTCTTTCTTGACCTCGTTCTCCCCATCAGATTCCTGAAAGTTATTCTCAAGTTTGGCAAAGATCACACCTGTGCAATGAGAGACACGGATCCAGGTCTGTAATAAACAGATGGATCTCTTTTTGTTGGGATCTGCTGGCAAGTTGACTTTGCCTAATGGAAACCCTATGAATGAGGGACCGCTCAAGTCATCAAGGGCCCTTGCATTGGAGATTTCAGTGGCTGATGCAATAATTTTGCATTGGAGATATCAGTGGCTGATGCAGTAATTTTGATTTAGAGATATCAGTGGCTGATGCAAGAATTTTGCATTGGGGATTTTAGGGCTGAAGCAATAATTTTGCATTGGAGATTTCAGTGGCTAATGCAATAATTTTGCATTGGGGATTTCAGGGCTGATGCAATAATTTTGCATTGGAGATTTCAGTGGCTGATGCAATAATTTTGCATTGGAGATTTCAGGGGCTGATGCAAGAATTTTGCGTTGGAGATTTCAGTGGCTGATGCACAAATTTTGCATTGGAGATATCAGTGGTTGATGCAAGAATTTTATATTTGAGATTTCAGTGGCTGATGCATGAATTTTGTATTGGAGATTTCAGTGGCTGATGCAATCATTTTGCATTAGAGATTTCAGTGGCTGATGCAAGAATTTTGCATTGGAGATATCAGGATTGATACAATAATTTTGCATTGGAGATGTGGCTGATGCAATCATTTTGCATTAGAGATTTCAGTAGCTGATCATTTTGCATTGGAGATTTCAGTGGCTGATGCAATCATTTTTCATTGGAGATGTGGCTGATGTAATAATTTTTGCATTGAAGATATCAGTGGCTGATGCAATCAATTTACATTGGAGATATCAGTGGCTGATGCAATCATTTTGCATTGGAGATTTCAGTGGCTGATGCAATCATGTTGCAGTTGAGATTTTAGGGCTGATGCAATCATTTTGCACATCATGACAGAGACATAGCCACTCTACACAACTTACACTCCTGTAAGAGGGAAAATGGGACTGGGCATTAATTTTGAATGGATTTTGGATTGATCCTGAATGAAGACTAAGGAGGTTGCATCACTATGCATGCTTTCTTAGAAATGTGTCTCTCTTTACACCGGTGGATGTTCACTTTCAGCACATGGGAGAAGCAGATCAGGAACTGAAAATAGAAAAATCTCTCTATTAAAAAAAAAAAAAAACTATCACAAAATCCAAACAAAACATCCACATTAATGCATTAAAACCATTAAAACTAACAACACATCAAACATGAAACAAAAAAAAAAACAACAAAAACAAACAAACAAAAAAAAAAAACAAAACCTCAGAAAAAACAACAACCCCCCCCCCCCCCCCCACATACCAATTTCATAACATAACTTTTGAAAAGCCAAGTTTCTGTCCGAAGAGAGGAGGAAAGAGCCGATCCCAAGATTTTATCTCCCTCCCCTAAAATTACCCAATTTTCTCCCTTCGTTTCAACCCGACAGCGTTCAATGCGGTCAACAGGCCACGGGCATTGGCTACACTGCTCACAAAGCAACATCTGCTCGTTGCATACTTGCGTCTGCTTCTTTTGGAGACAACTTGCAGCTTTGACTTGAAGCTTCCCCCCCCCTCCCCCGTTTGCGTAATTTTTTTTTAAACTTCTTTTGAGTTTTCTTTTTTTCAACCTTTTGTTTTTGTTTTTTAAATTAATTCATTTATATATATATATATATATTTATATATTTTAAAAAAGCAATAGTCCTTTGGTCCCTAAACTCTAAGGAATGATATGACTTTGAAAGAAGTTAATCCCATCTCCTCGGACATAGGACAAAGTGGGGTAGAGAAAGCCCCAGCGCCCGATCCGTGGGATTATAGATATATAGACCTATTTATATATATATCTTCTGTTAAGTTCAACATCCTTTTAGCAATCAATTAGTTTCCTTTTCTTATTCCAAATAGATGCGGAAAAAAAACACCCCAAAACACCCACCTCTTTTTTACCCCTTTGGAAAACAAAAAGTGTTACCCAGGTGTAACAACACATAGGCCTGGTCCAAACCCACCGGCTTTGGTTTAGATCTATTTGGCCTCCCTCTTCCGAAATCGAGCATCAGACAAGTGCTTCAGAGAGAGATTGGTCCCACCAGCAGGCTTCGCGCCTGCAACCGTTCTTCTCGCAAAATCCCACTCCTTTTTGCCAGGAGGGATTTTTCCTTAACTTTGTTTGCAAAATAAAGAAAGAAGTCTTCTTCCGCGGCCTCTTCCCGCGTCATCGTCGTGGAGTTTTGCGTTGGGCAAATGTCAACGCCTCTTTCCCTCTTGTCCGATGTGGTCGCCGCAACTCTCTTCGCTTCCTCTTGCTTTTGAAAAGAGACAACTCCCACCCCTCCCAACCGATTTGAAGATTCCGAAGAGAAATGAAAAAGCAATTTAAAAAAAAATGAAGAAGGAAATCGCAACCAAACTGGCTCCCTGGATTTCGCCAGCGTCTCTCTCTCTCTCTCTCTTTTTCCTACTCTTCTGCTTCCACCTTCTCCTCGTCGGTGATATGTTGCAAAGAAAGAGAGTTACAAGTCTGGATACGGCAAATGGGACAAGGGGAATACTCTTCATACGCCGCTCAGCATCCCATCTGCAAGACACAACAGGGAAGTTAAGAAGAGATGAGGGCAGTTATCACCAAAGTCAAAAACCAGACACAGTGAAGACATTTGCCCTTGCGCTATGCTACTCTGCTGCTGAGTATGCATGCCCAGTACGGAACACATCTCACCACGATAAAACAGTGGATGTGGCTCTTAATGAGACATGCCACATTATCACAGGGTGTCTGCGCCCTACACCACTGGAGAAATTACACTGCTTAGCCGGTATTGCACCACCTGACATCCGCCGGGAAGTAGCAGCCAATAGTGAAAGGACCAAGGCAGAGACATCTCCAGCTCATCCCTTGTTTGGGTATCAGCCAGCACGTCAACGACTTAAATCAAGAAATAGTTTTCTAAGATCTACAGAGACACTCGTTGGAACACCCCAGCAAGCGAGAGTCCAAAAGTGGCAGGCTCAAGCCAAGAACTTCAATCAATGGCTGATACCAGATGAGAGACTCCCCCCTGGGCACACAGAAGACTGGGTGATTTGGAAGGCGGTGAACAGACTGCGCTCTGGCACCACGAGATGCAGAGCCAATCTTAAGAAATGGGGCCACAAAGTGGAATCCACGACATGTGAGTGTGGAGAGGAGCAAACCACTGACCACCTGCTGCAATGCAACCTGAGCCCTGCCACATGCACAATGGAGGACCTTCTTGCGGCAACACCAGAGGCACTCCAAGTGGCCAGGTACTGGTCAAAGGACATTTAACCAGCTACCAAGCTTGCAAACTTTGTGTTTTGTCTGTTTGTTTGTTTGCATGTTTTGTAATACAAATGTCTGGTTGCTCCTGACACAATAAAAAAAATATATAACCAAAGTCAAGACCAAAACATGACTTAGCCAGAGCTGCTCAATCTGGGTTTCTCAGCCAAGCCAGTCTGGACCCCTTGAGCTCCCTAAGAGTTTTGCTGGCCAAAATTCAAATTAAAATTTCAACTGTATGCTTATTTGTTTTAATGAGCCTAACCAACTCCATCTTAGAATAATAGAATCCTAGAGTTGGAAGAGACTTCATGGGCCATCCGGTCCAACCCCATTCTGCCAAGAAGCAGGAAAATTGCATTCAAATCACCCCCGACAGATGGCCATCCAGCCACTGTTTAAAAGCTTCCAAAGAAGGAGCCTCCACCACACTCCGGGGCAGAGAGTTCCACTGCTGAACGGCTCTCATTCAGGAAGTTCTTCCTGATGTTCAATTGGAATCCCCCTTCTTGTAGTTTGAAGCCATTGTTCCATTGCATCCTAGTCTCCAAGGAAGCAGAAAACAAGCTTGCTCCCTCCTCCCTGTGACTTCCTCTCACATATTTATACATGGCTATCATGTCTCCTCTCAGCCTTCTCTTCTTCAGGCTAAACATGCCCAGCTCTTTAAGCCACTCTTCATAGGGCTTGTTCTCCAGACCTTGATTTTAGTTGCCCTCCTCTGGACACATTCCAGCTTCTCAATATCTCTCTTCAATTGTGGTGTCCAGAATTGGACACAATATTCCAGGTGTGGTTTAACAAAGGCAGAATAGAGAGGTAGCATTATTTCCCTAGATCTAGACACTATGCTCCTATCAGGCCAAAATCCCATTGGCTTTTTTTGCCACCACATCACATTGTTGGCTCATGTTTAACTTGTTGTCTACAAGGACTCCAAGATCTTTTTCACACGTACTGCTCTCGAGCCAGGCATTGTCCCCCATTCTGTATCTTTGCATTTCATTTTTCCTGCCTAAGTGGAGTATCTTGCATTTGTCCCTGTTGAACTTCATTTTGTTAGTTTTGGCACATCATCTCTCTAATCTGTCAAGATCGTTTTGAAGTCTGCTCCTGTCCTCTGGAGTATTGGCTATCCCTCCCAATTTGGTGTCGTCTGCAAACTTGGTGATCCTGCCTTCTAACCCTTCATCTAAGTCATTAATAAAGATGTTGAACAGGACCGGGCCCAGGACGGAACCCTGCGGCACTCCACTCGTCACTTCTTTCCAGGATGAAGAGGAAGCATTGGTGAGCACCCTCTGGGTTCGTCCACTTAACCAATTACAGATCCACCTCACCGTAGTTTTGCCTAGCCCACATTGGACTAGTTTCCTTGCCAGAAGGTCATGGGGGACCTTGTCGAAGGCCTTACTGAAATCCAGGTACACTACATCCACAGCATTCCCTGCATCTTGATGCTAGTTGACATGAGGTTTGCCATTGTGTTACACTAGAAACACTGCCGATCCAATTCCGAGCACAATTCAAAGTGCTGGTCTTGACCTATAAAACCCTATACGGCTCCGATCCAGCGTACTTGTCCGAATGTATATCATTCTACGTTCCACCTCGGAGTTTCAGATCTTCTGGGGAGGCCCTGCTCTCGGCCCCGCTTGGCACCTGGAGGGCCAAAGTTTGTCCATGCCTTGTCTATTGACTAATGGCTGTCCCCAAGCCGTTGGCTACTGGTCCCATGTGAGTTTTCAGGAATTCAAAACAATGAGTTGGAGTCACAAATAAGGTACACCATCTGCACAGGGTTCCATACTTTGCACTTTAACAATACAACCGTTCAATGCTAAGGCTTCCCGCCAAAATGGGACTGTAGAGGAGAGTCTACTGAACATGCCAGTACCTGCCGCATACCAGGACTGCCATCTGTTGAGGAGTTACGAAGGTGGAGGCATTATTTTCACTCAACCCTTTACAGTTACAGCATAGAACTGTAGAGGAGAGTCTACTGAACAAGCCAGTACCTGCCGCATACCAGTGCTGCCATCTGTTGAGGAGTTACGAAGGTGCTGGCATTATTTTTCATTCAACTCTTTACAGTTGCAGCATTTCTATTTATTTCGTTATTATTTATTTCGAACACTTTTACCCCGCCCAACTCCCACAATTCCTAACAGCCTCAGGCCTTTTCTGCTTAAGCGGCTGAGGGTGAGAAGGAAGGGGCCTGAGGCTGTTAGGAACTGTGGGAGTTGGAGTCCAAAACACCTGTAGGGCCAAAGTTTGCCCACACCTTTTCTACAGCATAGATGTGTCCCAAGTCTTCAACTCAGAAATTGGTCCTGGGTACTATTTGAAATTGCCCACTCCTGCTTAAGCAGTGCAGTGATATACAGACTTATAAATTGGCTCAAAAATAAAACAATTGATAAGTCAATGTTGCTATTAGCTGCAACGCCCAAAATCCACGCTCAGTTGCTATGTGGATGAAGGCTGATGGGCACAGCAGTCTCCCAATACCTTGCTCCTGGTTTTGAGAAGTTTCTTAAGGATGTTCCAACCCACTTCCTTCAGCTATGAGGATGCGACAGTCAATATAGAGGGCACACACATCATTGTCACACATCACAACAGAAGGTAAAAAAAAAAGAAGGAATAGAAGAAGATACAAAGAAGGACAAAGTGGAGTTCAGAAAATCCACAACTAGTAAAAGACTGACCAATCGGCACTCCAAAAACTATCCACCATGAGCATCAATATGGCACTGCACAACCGCCAGAGAGAGAAAGGAGGAAGAGGAGGAAAAGGAAGAGGGAAGGTGGAATCACGGGAGAAGAACCCATACAAAATAAAGTGTAGATATATAGATATATATATATATAGAAAGATCAACGTCAAGTTCATGCAACAAGGTTACAACCGGCCACATGGCGTCATCGAAAAGGACGATGACAACATGAGTTGAAGTCACTTACAGTTTCGGGCAATTTGGGAGGGAGAGCTTTTGTTTGGGCCTCCCATAACAGCGAGAGGTTTGCTAGGCAACTGGGGGTCATCCTTGGAGCTATGATTGGCCTGGTCGGGTTTAGAGACACGGAAGGGCAACGGGTCGGAGGGAAGGAAAAAAAATATAAAGAAAAAGAAATGAATCGGTTGGATGGAGTTGCTGGCTTGGTTGTTATTCCGGTTGGCACAGGACACATTGGCTGCTATGGGAGAGGAGAGAAGGACATGTCCCCTCGCCAACTCAGGACACATCGCACCCAAGACAGATGGAGTGATTTTATCATTTGGGACTGAAAAACAAAAGAGCACCTTTCCTTATCCCGAGTGGTGGAAAATAAAAGAAAACACAGTCGTAAACAAGTGGAAATAATCTGCTGTCTTTCCATGGTGCGGAATAGCTGAGGTCCAATTATAGGGCCGGCATGTAGTTGCTGCTTTTTCTGGTGATTCCAAAGCAGAACATTCGATATTTCAGACCTTGAATCAGACACACGGTCGCTTCCAAGGGACATTTATTGCATGAAGGAGGAGAACCAGCATTTTTGGAAACGGTCCCTATTGCACAACACTTTGTGCATAATAATCTATATGAATAAAAATGTAATGTTCGTTTGTGGGATTAATGGAACTCAAAAACCACTGGACGAATTGACACCAAATTTGGACACAAGACACCTAACAACCCAATGTATGTCCTTCACTCAAAAAATTTTGATTTTGTCATTTGGCAGTTGTAGTTGCTGGGATTTATAGTTCACCTACAATCAAAGAGCATTCTGAACCCCAGAAAGAAAAGAAAGAGGGAGGGAGGGAAAGAAAGAAGGAAAGAGAGAAAGAAGCATGGAAGCAAAGAGCGAAGGAAGGAAAGAGGTAGAGAAGGAAGAAAGGAGAGTAAGAGGAAGGAAAAGAAAAAGGGGAGAGAAGGAAGAGGTAGGGAAGGAAGGAAGGAAGGAGGAAAGAAGAAAAAGAAAGAAGGAGAGAGGAGGAGAAAGAAGAAAAGAGAAGAAAGAGAAGAAAGAAAGAAGGAAGGAAAGAGGTAGAGAAGGAAAGAGAAGGGAAGGAAAAGAAAGGGAGAAGGAAAGAGGTAGAGAAGGAAGAAGGAAGGAAGGAAGGAGAGGAGGAAAGAGAAGGAAAAGGAAGAAGGAAAGAGGAAGGAAGGAAAAGAGGGAGAGAGGAAAGAAGGAGGAAGGAAGAAGAAAGAAGGAGGAAGAAAAGAAAGAAGGAAGGAAAAGAGAAAGAGTAAGGGGAAGGAAAAGAAAAAGGGGAAGGAAGGAAAGAAGTAGAGAAGGAAGGAAGGAGAGAAGGAAAGAAGAAAAGGGAAGGAAGGAGGGAAAGAAGGAGAGAAAGAGGGAGGGAATGTTGGCTACAGCAATGCGTGGCAGATACAGCTAGTAGTATCAATAATAATAATAATAATAATAATAATAATAATAATAATAATAGGTTCTTGTGGATTTTTTGGGGCTGTATGGCCATGTTCTAGAGGCATTCTCCTGACGTTTCGCCTGCATCTATGGCAAGCATCCTCAGAGGTAGTGAGGTCTGTTGGAATAGGAAAATGGGTTTATATATCTGTGGAATGACCGGGGTGGGGCCAAGAGCTCTTCTCTGCTGAGCTAGGTGTGAATGTTTCAACTGACCACCTTCATTAGCATTTGAAGGCCTGGCTGAGCCTGGGAAAATCTTTTGTTGAGAGGTGTTAAGATGTGCCTGGTTGTTTCCTCTCTGCTGTTTTGCTGTTGTAATTTTAGAGTTTTTTAATACTGGTAGTCAGATTTTGTTCATTTTCATTAATAGAGTAAGGAGGTTTGAAATGCAATGAAGAGGACTGTTGGGTGGATAGGAGGGAAGGGTCTGGAGTGGTGGGCCAATACTGTTCTTATACATCGTATATACACACAGAGACATACATATATACATGTGTGGATATCTTCTGTCACACAGACAGATATGCACACTGTGAAAGTCTTAGGAATATGTCTCTTTCTCTCTAAATACACTTAAATCTGGTTAAAGGCAATGAAAGATGTGAACCTCAACTCACTGATATCCCTCCCGATCAAGCAGTTATGGACAATGTATTGCTTTAATAAGGGTTGTGTGGTGGCACAATGGGTTAAACCCATGTGTTGCTGAATTTCTGACCTGAAGATTGGCAGTTTGAATCCGCGAGACAGGATGAGCTCCTGTCTGCCAGCTCCAGTTCCTGCCAACGTAGCAGTTCGAAAACATGTAAATGTGAGTAGATAAATAGGTACCGCTTGGGTGGGGAAAGGCAAAGAGACGCTCCAAGCAATCTTGCTGGCCACACAATCAGTTGGTCACAATGCAGGCTATTCAGCTTGAAAATGGAGAAAGCATCTCCACAGTGCCAAAAATGAGCACCACCCCCAGAAGCTGGAAATGAAAGGAGAAGCCTCTCCCTTTGTTTGTGTTTGTGTGTCTCATTGTATCTGATTGTAAAGCACTCCAAGTAATCTTGCCAGCCACACAACCACACAACCAGGAGGTGACATTGCAGGCTATTCAGCTTGAAAATGGAGAAAGCATCTCCACAGTGCCAAAAATGAGCACCACCTCCAGAAGCTGGAAATGAAAGGAGAAGCCTCTCCCTTTGTTTGTGTTTGTGTGTCTCATTGTATCTGATTGTAAAGCACTTCAAGTAATCTTGCCAGCCACACAACCACACAACCAGGAGGTGACATTGCAGGCTATTCAGCTTGAAAATGGAGAAAGCACCTCCCTAGAGCAAGTGATGAGCACCGCCTCCAGAAGCTGGAAATGAAAGGAGAAGCCTCTGCCTTTGTGTTTGTGTGTCTGATCGTATATGATTGTAAAGCACTCCAAGTAATCTTGCCAGCCACACAACCAGGAGGTGACAACACAGGTTCCTCAGCTTGAAAATGGAGAAAGCACCTCTCCAGAGCCAGAGATGAGCACCACCTCCAGAAGCCGGAAATGAAAGGAGAAGTCTGTGCCTTTGTTTGCGTTTGTGTGTCTCATTGTACATGATTGTACTAAACACATTGAATGTTTGCCTATGTATGTAAATGCTGTAATCTGCTCCGAGTCCTCTAGGGGGAGAAGGACAGAATATAAATAAAGTATATTATTATTATTATTATTATTATTATTATTATTATTATTGGCACGCAAACCATGTGTTTTAATTCAGTCAAGTTTCTCATGAGTTGAAAGAGAGGATTTGTTTCATATCCCATTCCTCTGCTTGGACTCTACCTGGACCATCCATCTCCACCTGTGTCTCCTTACCTGTTTTCAGAGCCAAAGTGAACAGGGGTCAGTAGGGTCTGTTGGCATCTTTTGGCCGCTTTAACTGGACTTTTAGCCTCTTCATGCCGATCTGGAAGCCGTTCATGGCCTGAATGGCTGCCTGAGCACTAGTTGGATTGTCAAAACTGACGAAACCTGGAGACAAGGGAAAGTGGGAGGGCGACAGAACGGGGGCAGAAAAGGGAAAGCCATTATTCAATACCATAACCAATCACCGTTTCATTGCAACCATTTCATTGGAGTTAGCTCTTCCTAGACTTATAGGAATCTGCAAGATTAGTGGGTTATTTAAGGACATTATCTATATAAGTGGGGCATTGCTGTGTAACGTATTTTCTTAATATAAATCCTAATATATTTTGGCTCTTTTGGAAAAGCTTGCAATGTTGGGTTTGGTACACGATCCAGTTTTTACTAATTCTATCTTCCTCACTTGCCGAGTTTCCAACAGACCTCACAATCTCTGAGGATGCCCACCATAGATGTGGGTGAAATGTCAGGAGAGAATGCTTCTGGGACGTGGCCAGACAGCGCAGAAAACTCACAGCAACCTAGTGTCTCCATGTTGATTTTGGTCTCTTCTATACTGTCATTTAATTCAGATCATCGAATCAGATAATCCACATTATCTGCTTTGAAGTGGATTATATGAGTCTACACCACAATACAATCCAGTTCAAAGCAGAAAAACTGGATTTAGGCTTCAGGTGTTTATCTTTGTTGTTATAGTAGCAGTAGTAGCAGTAGTAGTAGTAATAACAATAATAATAATAATAAACAACTTTATTTATACCCTGCCACCATCTCCCCAAAAGGGATCTCGGGGCAGCTAACATGAGGCCAAGCCCTTCCAAAAATACAATACAACACAGTAAAATGCAAAATATAGGAGAAAAGACAACAAAATAAAATAATATAGTAGCTGGAGAGATCAACTGTTTCGTAAATTGATAGCCTTCAGTCATGGCAATCAAAGGGGTAACAAATTGTGTTATTTTTACAGTGTAGATGCACCCTATAAACTAGAACAACCTATAAATATAATCATAAAATCATAGGATCCTAGAGCTGGAAGAGACGTCATGGACCATCCAGTCCAACCCCATTCTGCCAAGAAGCAGGAAAATTGCCTTCAAAGCACCCCCAGCAGATGGCTATCCAGCCTCTGTTTAGAAGCGTTCAATGAAGGAGCCTCCATCACACTCCAGAGCAGAGAGTTCCACTGCTGAACAGCTCTCACAGTCAGGAAGTTCTTCCTAACGTTCAGGTGGAATCTCCTTTCCTGTAATTTGAAGCCATTGTTCCGCGTCGTAGTCTTCAGGGCAGCAGAAAACAAGCTTGCTCCTTCCTCCCTATGACTTTCCCTCACATATGTATACATGGCCCTCACCGTGTCTCCTCTCAGCCTTCTCATCTGTGGGCTAAACATGCCCAGCTCTTTAAGCTGCTCCTCATAGGGCTTGTTGTTCAGACCCTTGATCATTTTAGTCGCCCTCCTCTGAACCCATTTCAACTTGTCAACATCTCCCTTCAAATGTGGTGCCCAGAATTAATTAATTAATTAATTAATTATTTCTTGCACTTCTACCCCGCCCTTCTCAACCCCCAAGGGGGGACTCAGGGCGGCTTACAAAAAGGCACAACTTGATGCCAGCACTACAACAAGGTAAAAATAAAACATATAAACAGTAATTAAAACAATTAAAACAATCCATTATACATCACAATCCCTAAAACCATCTATTGCTCAACGTTTATCAGCTCAGAGTCCGTAAATTCAAATTCCATATTGTCCAATCCATCAATTCTAGTCGTCGCTTATCCTTTGTCTATCTGCCAGATTACCTGAAGGCCTGGTCTCAAATCCATGTTTTTAATTTCCTTCTAAAAGAGAGGAGGGATGTCGATGACCTAATTTCCCCGGGGAGTGAGTTCCACAGGTGAGGGGCCACCACCGAGAAGGCCCTGCTCCTCGTCCCCACCAATCTCACTTGTGCTAGAGGTGGGGCCGAGAGCAGTGCCTCCCCAGAAGATCTTAAACTCCGAGAAGGAGATACGTTCGGACAGATATGGACACAGAATTGGACACAATATTCCAGTTGCGGTCTGAAATATAGGCAGTGGAACTCCAGAAGGGTTGAAGCAGAACTTATAAACATTACTTTTTCTGGACACGACAACTTCCCAAATCCTCCAGCCAGTTTTGGTATCTATATATTTTAAAAAGTGACATTTAAATGTCCTGTTGGCAAGAGAAGCGAGTGCGTTGGCTACTTACCAAAGCATTTACTTTGGTTGGTGGCACGGTCGACAAAGACTTTGGCAGAGATGACGTTGCCAAAAGGCAAGAACATCTGCATGAGCTCCGCATCCCCAAACTCCTGGGGCAGGTGATAAATGAAGAGGTTACAGCCTTCAGGACCTGGGTAACAGCCACAAACATGCACATACGGGAGGAAAGGGGGGGAAAAAAGGACACGCATTATCTGCGGGGATGAACACACCTCTCTCTTAAATGTTTGCAAAGGGAGAACGAAAGCGATTCATATCCAAATGTAAATCAAACAAGATTCTCTTTAGCAGCAGAATCCAAGTATCATATATTTGTTTGCACAATGCATTGTATCTATACCTTCATTTATTTAGCAGCCATCTCATATATCTTTAAAATTATGGTTACCAACTATAGTTGGTAATTTCACTTTTTTTTGTAAACATCATTAAAACAATAACAACAAATTGCCAAATAACCCAATTCCCCATGACACCGCTCGAGAAAATATCTAATCAAGCCCAGAAATGATATTACACGAGATCAAATATTGCAAGTCATAATAGATTCATTAAAATACAATCCCAGATATAGAATTCGTTATTTGGACTGCGGTATGTTAGAATACGTCAGGAGAGAGACAGAGAAACCTTACTAGAATAACAATGCCCAACTTCCTTCTTCAGTTGCATTCCCAATTTGTTTCCGAACCAACTGCTATTCTGCCAAAGGACTCAGACTCTCAGTTTGAATGTATAAGTCAATGGCAAGTTTTAGGTCAACATTTTGGATTTTGATCTGAGGTCCAGGGTCATTTCAAGGAAAGGGGAAAATACTAATGCTCTTGTGTCATACGAAAGCTGACTGGCACAACCTGGGGATCACAACCAGATACAGTGAAGACATCTGCCCTTGCGCTATGCTACTCTGCTGCTGAGTATGCATGCCCAGTGTGGAACACATCTCACCATGCTAAAACAGTGGATGTGGCTCTTAATGAGACATGCCGCATTATCACAGGGTGTCTGCGCCCTACACCACTGGAGAAATTACACTGTTTAGCCGGTATTGCACCACCTGACATCCGCCGGGAAGTAGCAGCCAATAGTGAAAGGACCAAGGCAGTGACATCTCCAGCCATCCCTTGTTTGGGTATCAGCCAGCACGTCAACGACTTAAATCAAGAAATAGTTTTCTAAGATCTACAGATACACTCGCTGGAACACCCCAGCAAGCGAGAGTCCAAAAGTGGCAGGCTCAAACCCAGAACCTCAATCAATGGTCGGGGGTGTTTTGAAAGCAAATTTCCTGCTTCTTGGCTGAATGGGGTTGGACTGGATGGCCCACGAGGTCTCTTCCAACTCAATGATTCTATGATCCTATGTTCCTTCTTTTGGGTTTGCTCTGGATGGAAAAAGCTCTGGCTTTTCATCACTCTGCTAAAATAAAGTTCCTTTTTTGGATAAGAGTTAATTTTGTTGTGATGTAATCTTTCTGTTGTGTTGTATTTTATTGCTGTATTATTTTTGGGCTTGGCCTCACGTTAGCCGCCCCGAGTCCTCTTTGGGGAGATGGTGGTGGGCTATAAAGCTTATTATATTATTATTAATTGCCATGGTTCAGTGCTATGGAATCATGCCACTTTGACTGCCATGGCTCAATGCTATGGAATTATGGAAGATGCCATTTTACAAACTCTTTGGCCTTCTCTGATTCTTGGTGCTTCACAAAACTACAACTCCCAGAATTCCATAGTATTGAGTCATGGCAGTTAGAGTGGCATCAAAATGCATTCATTTTCCAGTGTAGATGCATCCTTGGTGTTGAATCCATCCATGGATTCAGGAGGCCTACTCCATCCAGTTGAGCATCTGGATGGAGTCCATTCGCCATTGGTGTTCTCCTAAATCAGTGGTTCTCAACCTTCCTAATGCTGCAACCCCTGAATAAAGTTCCTCATGTTGTGGTGACCCCCAACTATAAAATTATTTTTGTTGCTACTTCATAACTGTAATTTGGCTACTGTTGTGGATCGTAATGTAAATATCTGATATGCAGGATGTATTTTCATTCAATGGACCACATATGGCACAAATACCCCATGCGTCCAAATTTGAATACTGCTCGGGTTGCGGGGGGTTTGATTTTGTCATTTGGGAGTTGTAGTTGTTGGGATTTATAGTTCACCTACAATCAAAGAGCATTCTGAACTCCACCAATGATGGAATTGGACCAAAATTGGCACACAGAACTCCCATGACCAACAGAAAATACAGGATGGGTTTGGTGGGCATTGACCTTGAGTTTAGGAGATATAGTTCACCTACATCCAGAGAGCACTGTGCATTCAAAAAATTATGGATCTAGACCAAACTTGGCACGAATCCTCAATATGCCCAAATATGAACACTGGTGGTGTTTAGGGAAAATAGACCTTGACATTTGGGGGTTGTAGTTGCTGGGATTTATAGTTAACCTACAATCAAAGAGCATTCCAAACTCCACCAATGATGGAATTGAACCAAACTTCCTACACAGGACCCCCATGACCAATAGAAAATACTGGATGGGTTTGGTGGACATTAACCTTGGGTTTTGGAGTTGTAGTTCACCTACATCCAGAGAGCACTGTGGACTCATAGAATGATGGTTCTAGACCAAACTTGGCACGAATCCTCAATATGCCCAGATATGAAAACTGGTGGAGTTTAGGGAAAATAGACCTTGACATTTGGGAGTTGTAGTTGTTGGGATTTATAGTTCACTCACAATCAAAAAGCATTCTAAATCCCACCAATGATAGAATTGGTCCAAAATTCCCACACCCCTATGACCAACAGAAAATACTGTGTTTTCTGATGGTCTTTGGTGACCCCTCTGACGTCACTCTCAGGGCTCTTGACCCCCAGGTTGAGAAACACTGTCCTAAATGGTGCCCCCCTCCCTTCCACAACTCTCAGCTTTGTTTTCATCTCACCTTCTCTTTGCTGTTGAGGAATGATGGGAGCTTGCTGGGGGAAGGCCTGGCTGATTGGTGCATAGGCGGCTGGATATGCTGCTGGAACACAAAAAAACAGAACGATCAGGGCACCCATAACACCTTGCTTGCTTTTGAGAAAAAGGAAACACAAAGGAAAGCCAATGGCTATGGGTAGGGTGCCCGGTGATGACTCTAGACTCAGATTCAATTGGGAAATTCATGCATCATATACAGAGGATCCCGCTGTGATGTGACGCGTCTCAAGACAAATCTTTTACAGCAGCTCATTTATCTGAAGTGTTTCCTAAAATTCCTCATGGGATGTCAGTGTCCTGATGTCCTTCCTAAAACTCTCCTGCTTTCGAGGGGAAAGAGCTGTCCAGGAAATGTATTTCATTCTGGGCAATGGATTTCAAGGACCCCCAGTCATTCTGGACACAACAGGCAGGGAGATTCTGGGAATTGCAATCTAACTTCCTCAACATCTATGGAGCCCTGTTACATTTTTCTACATCAGAGCTTGGAAGTGGTGCTTTTTGTCCAGAACCCTGGGATAACGGTGGACGTATGAGTTGATAAAAATATAATAATAATAATAATAATAATAATAATAATATTTCAAGAAAAGAAGCAGACAACTCTAGGTAGAGAAGATGCAGACCAGGGGGCATGGGTAAACTTTGGCCTTGGTTCCCCCCCATAAATATTACAAAATTACTAGGTATTTTTAATTACAAAAATATGAGTCAAGCACTGAAATGCCTAAATGGATGCAATGACTCAGCAAAAGCTGCAGTTCTATATAAGCAAGTGTGCCTTTAGCATAGTAGACCTCAGTGTGAGAAGGCCTCTGTGGGAGAAGGGCCTCAGTGTGTTAGTAGACCTCAGTGTGAGAAGGCCTCTGTGGGAGAGGGCCTCAGTGTGTTAGTAGACCTCAGTGTGAGCAGGCCTCAGTGTGAGAAGGCCTCAGTGGGAGAAAGGCCTCATCTGAGGTAGGCCTCAATGTGAGTAGGCCTGGTGTGAGAAGCTCCGGTGAGAAGTAGCCCAGGTTGAAGGCCATCAGTGTGAGTAGGCCTCAGTGTGAGTAGGCCTGGTGTGAGAAGCTCCACTGAGAAGAAGCCCAGGTAGAAGGCCATCAGTTGAGTAGGCCTCAGTGGGAGAAAGGCCTCAGTTTTAGGTAGGCCTTAGTGTGAGTAGGCCTGGTGTGAGAAGCTCCACTGAGAAGAAGCTCCAGGTTGAAGGCCATCATGGGAGAGAAGTTCCAGTGTGAAGGCTGTCTTGTGCAAAGCTACTGTGTGAAACTCCTGTGTAACTTTGGTGTGAGAGAAGGCTCTGTGAGAGCGAAGCTGTTTATCTGCATGAGAAAGAAGCCCAGCATGGAAGCAAAGAAGGAAGTGTAAATAACTTTATTTGTGTTATGGAAACCTTGTTCTTGTAAATAGTGCAACCGTATTATTTCGCTATAAAGAAAAACTTCCTATGGAAGAGATAACATTGGTCTGTGCATTTTTGTTCTTTTTATCACTTTGGGGTGATGAGTCAAGATACTCATAATAAGTTATTCTACTGTACATTTATGGAGAGGGACCTTTGTTAATAAGTCCACTTGCCCAACAGTTTTGGACTTTAACTCCCACAATTCCTAACAGCCCTGGCTCCCTTCATTTCCCCCCTCGGTCACTTAAGTGGCTGAGAGGGAAAAGGAAAGGGCCTGAGGCTGATAGGAATGGTGGGAGTTGTAGTCCAAAACACCGGGAGGGCCAAAGTCTGCCCATGCCTGATGTAGACAGATGGTGGAAACTCCTTCCTTGGAGGCATTTAAACAGAGGTTGGATGGTCATCTCTCTGGGGTGCTTTGATTGTGCTTTTCCTGCATGGTAGGGGTTAGACTAGATGGCCCATGTGGTCACTGCCAACTCTATGATCCTATGCTCTTTCCCATATCATCCGGACACATACATAGCCTAGTAACAGCTTATTTATTCATCCAGAAGATAGTAAATCCACCTTTAGAAGTACTAACCAAGTGCCCCCAAAAGGCTTCTGGACCTTTAAAGACTGGGCGATACCCTGGAATGGATCCAGTGTCCCACTGACACGGACTGTCACTCAATGGCCACCAATGTCATATCACAAAGATGCCGTGAGAAGATGTAAACAGAGGGAGAATGCAGAGAAAGAAGGGGAGATGGAGAGAGAAAAGGAAAGTGGAGGCAGGGGAGGAAGGACAGGCAAAGCAATGTTTGAGACCTGCATAGTGCTGCATGCCTGCGTAGGCTTGTTGGAGGGGATCGGCCACAGTGGGACTTTGAGCTGAGAAGAAAAAAAAAAGAAGGAAGAAGAAGGGAGACAGTAAGCAAAGGCAACCAGAGGGGAACGGCTTTCAGTCAGGGGCCAGCATTGGAGGGTGGGAAGGGAACCATCGGAGAGGCCGGCCCTTTCTCCCCATTGCTCCTTGGCACTCACTTCTATGTTATGCCAAACCTTGCCATGGCAGATAGCAAACATTGCTGTATATACTCGAGTATAAACCTAGTTTTTCAGCCCTTTTTTAGACTGAAAAAGTCCCTCTCGGCTTATACTTGAGTCAAGATTATTTATTATTGAATTCTGTTGTTGTTATTATTATTATTACATTTATCATTTCACTCTTATTATTATTACATTTATTATTTTACTTTATTATTCTTATTATTACATTTATCATGTCACTCTTATTATTATTACATTTATTATTTTACTTTATTATTCTTATTATTACATTTATTATTTCACTCTAAATATTATAACATTTATTATTTTACTTTATTATTGTTGTTATTACATTTATCATTTTACTCTTATTATTATTACATTTATTATTTTACTTTATTATTCTTATTATTACATTTATTATTTCACTCTTATTATTATTACATTTATTATTATACTTTATTATTGCTATTATTACATTTATTATTTCACTCTTATTATTATTACATTTATTATTATACTTTATTATTGCTATTATTACATTTATTATTTCACTCTTATTATTATTACATTTATTATTTTACTTTATTATTCTTATTATTACATTTATTATTTCACTCTTATTATTACTACATTATTTTACTTTATTATTCTTATTATTACATTTATTATTTCACTCTAAATATTATAACATTTATTATTATACTTTATTATTGTTGTTATTACATTTATCATTTTACTCTTATTATTATTACATTTATTATTTCACTCTTATTATTATTACATTTATTATTTTACTTTATTATTCTTATTATTACATTTATTATTTCACTCTTATTATTATTACATTTATTATTTTACTTTATTATTCTTATTATTACATTTATTATTTCACTCTTATTATTATTACATTTATTATTTTACTTTATTATTCTTATTATTACATTTATTATTTCACTCTTATGTTATTACATTTATTATTTTACTTTATTATTGTTATTATTACATTTATTATTTCACTCTCTTTATTATTATTGGAAGGATACATAAGCTCATTTCCACTGAAGAAGGTTAGAATAGTGGTTTAATCAGAGTTGGACAGTCTTGTCTTAAATTACACTTTTAAGTAAATATTCAAAAACATTTAGCCTTCTGATGCCTCAATTAATGTAATTGTATTGGTATTGATTTATATTTTGAAACTGACCAGTAGCTGCTGCATTTCCTGCCCCTCGGCTTATACTCGAGTCAATGCATTTTCCCAGTTAAAATTAAGTGCCTCGGCTTATATTCGGGTCGGCTTATACTCGACTATATATGGTACTTATAATGTTATAAGCACTGGCATCAGGTGGCTTTCCTAGTCAATAGGGCAGTGTGTCCATGCTGGACTTCAGCTTTAGGAAAGCACTCTGTAGTTCAGTATCTTCCCAAACTGTGGTCCATGGGCAACCAGTGGTCCACAAGAACTACAATATGGTCCGCGGGCTCACAGTTACTACACTCTATTGTTGAAGACTTTCGTGGCTGGAATCACTGGGTTGTTGCAGGTTTTTTGGGCTATATGGCCATGTTCTAGAAGCATTCTCTCCTGATGTTTCACCTGCATCTATGGCAAGCACAMAACCTCTGAGGATGCTTGCCATAGATGCAGGCAAAATGTCAGGAGAGAATGCTTCTAGAACATGGCCATATAGCCTGAAAAACCTACAACAAGCCAGTTACTATGTTGCACAAGAGCAACTGTTCTCACAAAACCCTCTTACAGTACAGAGGCYTATTAAATATAGTTTTCTGTGGGCGAGCAGATGGCAACTACTGCATGGCATAAGTTCTGTATCAGAAACTAGAGCTGATGTTGTCTATCCAATGTTATTTCCTGAATCAGCACCCTCAAATAACCGAACTGAATCGAAAGTTGACCAAAAACTGATTTGTAAACCCTTTTGGTACTAATGTTGGAGAGTGGTCCCTGGTTAAAGTGGTTACTAGTCAAGAGGTCCCTGGTCAAAGTGGTCCCTGGTCAAAGGGGTCCCTGGTCAAAGTGGTCCCTGGTCAAAGTGGTTCCTAGTCAAATGGTCCCTGGTCAAAGGGGTCCCTGGTCAAAGGGGTCCCTGGTCAAGAGGTCCGTGGTCAAAGGGGTCCCTGGTCAAAATGGTCCCTAGTCAAAGGGGTCTCTGGTCAAGTGGTCCCTGGTCAAAGGGGTCCCTGGTCAAAGGGGTCCCTGGTCAAGTGGTCCCTGGTCAAAGGGGTCCCTGGTCAAGAGGTCTGTGGTCAAAGGGGTCCCTGGTCAAAATGGTCCCTAGTCAAAGGGGTCCCTGGTCAAGTGGTCCCTGGTTAAAGGGGTCCCTGGTCAAAGGGGTCCCTGGTCAAGTGGTCCCTGGTCAAAGTGGTCCCTGGTCAAGTGATCACTGGTCAAAGTGGTCCCTGTTCAAAGGCGTCCTTGGTCAAAAAAATGTTGGGAACTGTCAGAAATATTAAAAATTAACTAGGCATTTTTGATTACAAAAGTGTGAGTCAAGTACTGAAAGAGTTAAGAGGCTGCAGCTTGTTAGGGTCAGTGGGCCAAAGCTTGTCCCGTCCTGAAGAGTGTGAGGTAAACCTCTGTGTGAGAGAAGCTCCACTGTGAAGGCTACTTTGTGTAAAGCTACTATGTATTTGTTTATTTGTGTTATGGAAGCCTTGTTCTTGTAAATAGTGCAACCATATTATTTCACTACAAAGAAAAGCCTCCTAAGGAAGAGATAACATGGTTCTGTGTATTTTTATTCTTTTTATCACTTTGGGCTACTGGTATGGATGGACCTTCTTGCAGCAACACTAGAGGCCAACTACTGGTCAAAGGACATTTAATAGAATATCAAGTCTGCAAACTTTGTGTTCTGTTTGTTTGTTTGTTTTTTAATGCAATGCAACTGTTCTGGTTCACTCCTGACACGATAAATAAAATACTGGTATGGATCACGCTGCTGCTAATAAGTTACTCTGCTATACGTTTATGGGGAGGGTCTTTTGTTAATAAGCCCACTCGCCTAACAGGAACCACTGTTCTTGAGTCACTGCTTTACGATTTGGATTGCAATGTGGAGCAGATTTGCTGCTCCGCTGACAATTTCCCAAATCCCCCCAAAAGCATGTCTGCTGGCTATATTCATCGAGGAAAGTGATACTCCCAGATTTAATTCACCCCCAAATAACTTTCCCATGTTTTGCCCATCGTTCCCTTCTCACATTGCGTCCAACACTCGAGGGGAAAGAAATTGGAGACACAAATGAAAGGGTTGTCCCATTCCTCTTAAGTGTTTTAATAGTCAGAAGGAGGAAGAGCAAGAAAAACTAGCAAGATGTGAAGAGAAAAAGCAAGCAACAGAGAAAAGCAACTTGGAACTCTTCTGAGAGAATGATTTATACATTCACCATCTAGGAGTTTGGAAAGTTCACATTTGAAAGGACAAACGGTCCTTCGCATTTATGAGTTTAACTTTTCTGGGTCTGATTATGTATTTGCAGAATTAATACATTCCCTGTAGGAACATCTACGTCCTCCAATGCTGGAGGACCTAGTGCTGGAGAACTTAGGGATTCCTGGAAAGAAGGCTTTCCATAACACTGTTAAGTTTTCCAGAACAACTCTGTGGGATCTTCCAGATGAAGCCTGAGAGATCCAGTTGCTTCATAGTTTTGGATGGTCTACCTTCTGTGCCAGCTGGGCATCTTGTCTTTCTAGCATCTCAAAAGGAGTAGCTCTCCCCTTTCCCCCTCATCCAACAACAAGGAGTTAGGTCCGAACTCATGGCTTTTCTCTTACCTGGGTATGGATGAATTCCATTGGTATAAATGGTTTCTGATGCTGGCTGCCCATTGGTCTGGGGTGGGAGAGGGCTGAACCCATTCACTCCGATAGGCGTGGCTATGCTGGGGACGGGGGCTGTGCTGATCCCTGGAGGTGTGCTTGTACCTGAACCAGACAACACATAGAGAAGAATTACAAACGTGGACTTTGCAAACAGCAAATCGAGGCTCATAGAACCAAAACAGAGGCTGCAGATGTGCATGTGAGACAGTGCATAATAATAATAATAATAATCACCATCATCATCATCTTACTTGGAACTGCGCACATCATTTGAAAATACATCACACAGGTCTAGTGAATGGGGAAACTGTGTGTCTATTTATTTATTTATTTATTTATTTACTTTATTTGTATACCGCTGTTCTCAGCCCTTAGGCGACTCACAGCGGTTAACAACAGAACAGCAAAAATTCAATGCTACACATCACACGGTATAAAAAACAGTTAACATCATAACATATTATAGAAAAGTATACAATTAACAACAATATACAATTAACACCAATAGCCATTCACTAGCGTCTCATCACTAAAAACATGATCCAGATCCGTCATCCATTGTTCCATTCCTATGTTCATTACACTCATTGCACTGACTATTCGAACGCCTGCTCAAACAACCAGGTCTTCACTTTTTTGCGGAATACCATTAATGATGGAGCTAGTCTAATATCCGTGGGAAGGGCGTTCCACAGCCGAGGGGCCACCACCGAGAAGGCCCTATCTCTCGTCCCCGCCAGCCGTGCCTGTGAGGCAGGCGGGATCGAGAGCAGGGCCTCCCCGGAAGATCTCAAAGTCCTGGTGGGTTCATAGGCAGAGATGCGGTCGGATAGGTAGCTTGGGCCGGATTTGTGATACGAAATCCGGCATATATTCTCATTTGCTGTGTCATACTATGTTTCTGGGTCAGAATAACAACAACAACAACAACAACAATACAGTGTTGCCTTGCTACTTCGGTGGCCAGGGGAGTATTCACACAATTAAAACTTGTGTGCCAGTTGCACCTGTACCTTGCGAAGTCAGACTTGGCTACAGTGCTCTGGTCACATCCTGAATAGATTACTGCAATGAGCTCTATGTGGGGCTTTGAAGAGTGTTTAGAAACTTCAAGTGGTCCAGTGGGCAGCAGCCAGACTGCTCACCAGAGTGGCATACAGGGCACATACATTCCCCCTGTTACGTTGGCTCCACTGGCTGCCAGTCTGCTACCGAGCACAATTCAAAGTGCTGGCTTTAGCCTATAAAAGCTCTAAATGGTTCCGGCCCAGCTTACCTGTCCGAACATATCTCCCCCTATGAACTAGCACAGAGATTAAGATCGTCTGGGGAGGCCCTGCTCTCGGTCCCACCTCTTTTGCAGGCGTGATTGGTGGGAATGAGAGACAGGGGCTTTTCAGTGGTGGCCCCTCAGCTGTGGAACTCCCTCCCTAGTGATGTGAGATCAGCCCCCTCCTTACTGAACTTCAGAAAGACTGTGGAAACATGACTCTGGGATCAAGCCTTTGGAGAAAAACTATCGTGCAATTGATGGACTGGAATTATATGCAAAGACTATCAGAATGACCTGGATTATGTTTTGTCGAAGGCTTTCATGGCCGGAATCACTGGGTTGTTGTAGTTTTTTCGGGCTATATGGCCATGTTCTAGAAGCATTCTCTCCTGACGTGTCGCCTGCATCTATGGCAAGCATCCTCAGAGGTTTTGAGGTCTATGGCAAGCATTCACCTCTGAGGATGCTTGCCATAGATGCAGGCAAAACGTCAGGAGAGAATGCTTCTAGAGCATGGCCATATATTATGCTTTTAGTATTCTTGTTATGGTTTTATATTATGTGTTAATGTTTTTAAATGTTTTATGGTGTTTTTGAGCATCAAATCGTTGCCATTGTAAACCACCCTGAGTTGCCTAAGGGCTGAGAAGGTAGTAAATAAATAAAATAATAAATACATAATACAGCCCGAAAAACCTACAACAACCCAGACCTGTATTATGTTTGTGGATAGCGTAGTTTTATAGTGATTGTAATGTTTTGTAAATGTTTTAATGTATTTCACTCTTGATCTTAATTTTTCATTCAAGTGTTTATTTTAATTGTATACTGTTGTTAAGGCATTGAATTATTCCCACGTTGAGTTCCCTTCAGGGTAGAGAAAGGCAGGATATAAATATAGTAAATACATCAATAAAGAAATAGTACTATACTTCCAGCACCTCATCACACTAAAAAATCCCAGGCTTCCATCCCAATATACATCAAAAACATCAAATCATTCAGGCATCCCCTGGGCAAGGTCCATGCAGACAGCCAATTCTCTCACACCAGAACCGACTTGCAGTTTCTCAAGTCACTCCTGACACAACAAAAAAATATCTCAATATAGGTCCAACCAAAGACGGTGGCGTGACCATACCTGATGAGGGCGTCATGGGAGCCGCGACCAACCCGCTCACGTTAAAGGCGGCCATCTGCTGCATCTGGGCGGCCGCAATGGCCGCCATGGGGTTGAGGCAAGTTCCTTGTGCTGCAGCCATCAGAGCTGCCTGCTGCTGCATTATCTTAATGAAAGAAAGACAGGCGTGGGGAGAGAGAAAGGAAAAGAAGCCCAAAGGGACGGGGATTTGGACAAAGGGAGATAGGGAAGAAAAGGGAATGGAGGAAGCGGGGAAGGAGGAAGAAAGTACAAGTTAGTTTTGCTTTCATTAATTTTTTATTAAACTGCAAAAAACTTTGTTTTTGTGCTACTTCCTGCAGCATGTTTTGTTCTAGTTTTTCAATGAGTCTCTCATTGAATCTCAACCAATTCAACATAATTGGTTGAAACAAAGCTTCTGGAGAATAATAACTATTTGCAAAGGTAACCATTTCCCCTTGACATTGAGTCCAGTCGTGTCCAACTCTGGGGGTTGGTGCTCATCTCCATTTCTAAGTCAAAGAGCTGGCATTGTCCGTAGACACCTCCAAGGTTGGGTTGTTGTATGGCAAGCAGCCTCAGAGGTTGCACGAACTGCCGCTCTGGGCCAAAGTGAAGAGAGAGGCGGCCAGGGGACAGTCCCATCCTGCCTCCTCCATGTGTCATCAATAGGGGGCCCCTACCTGTAGCACCAACTGATGCTCTGGGCCAGAGTGAAGAGAGGGGGGCCAGGGGACAGTTCCACCTTGTCTCCTGCATATGTCATTGGTTGGGGACCCCTCCCCCCAGCAACAACTGCCGCTCTGGGCCAGAGTGAAGAGAGAGGGGGCCAGGGGACAGTCCCATTTTGCCTCCTGTGTTATGCTAATAATGTAACATAATATAATAATATAATATAATATAATGTAATATAACATATTAGCATATATTTTATATATATATATATATATATATATATATATATATATATATATATATATGGGGTATTTTAAAGTAAGGTCCGTTTTGTTAGACACTAGTAGTTCGCGCGCATACCGAAACGAATGCGTGCGTCGTGTACCAGCATGCCTCGGGAACAACTGTACTCAGTTTCCGCTCTGTAGCTAACCTGTACGGTTCTGTTCTGTGCTTTAAAAATGTTTAAGACTATCAACTCACCCTCCGCATGTGAGGTTCGCTCAGTGATACGTTTTTTGTCAGCAAGGAACCTGCCTGCTGCAGAAATTCATCGACAGATTTGTGAAGTGTACGGTGATACTGTTATGAGTGAAAGCAAAGTGCGTAAGTGGGTACAACAATTCAAATATGGCTGTGACAACGTCCATGATGAGGACCGCTCCGGTCGCCCTTCTTTGATTACAGATGAACTCTTGGTTATCGGAGCAGGCGACAAGTTTTTATGAAGAGGGTATTTTAAAATTGGTTCAGAGGTATGATAAGTGTTTGAACAAACTTGGCAACTATGTCGAAAAATAGAGTGAAGTATGTACTTTCTGAAAATAAATTTACTTTTTTGAAATAAGCTTTTGTTGTGTATTTATGTTCCAACGGACCTTACTTAAAAAATACCCCTCGTATATTTATATTACATGCAATATTACTAATAATATTACAATATAATGGTATAGTACAATACAGTAATATATAATACTGATATTGTACTATGCTAATAATATAATATAATATATTGTATGTATATATATCTTGTGAGCTGCTCTGAGTCCCCTTTGGGGTGGAAAAGACGGCATATAAATACCGCAAATAAATATATAAATAAATAATCCATAGGGTTGTCACCCCATCACTCCCACGCTGCTCCCGCCATGGGTTTGTTGCATTTGGCATGCCTCTGTGACATAGGGATGGGGGCTGCTTGCAGTCTGGCCTGGGAGCACCTCCTACCGCTTGCGTATATGCTCCATAGGCTCCGAACTGGATGGTCATGGGATTAAAGATCCCCAGCTGTCCTGCCATCTGATGCATTCGCCGCAGGGTCCTCTCCTTGTCTGTGTCGGCAAACTTCACCACCAGACTGGAGGATGCTCCCTAGGAAGGGGAAGGGGCAAAGAGAGAGAAAGAAAGAGAGAGGCAGAAACAGAGAGAGTCGGGCAGAGTGTTCCCATTGTTTTGGCATGTGCCGTGATGGCCGCATGCACCACAGATACTCTCCGCAAGACCATTCAGCACCCATGATGGGAAAAGCCATGTTTCAATACTTCAAAGGATGACATATTAAATACATAAATCATCTGCTGTGTTGATTCAGGCTTCTGCCTGGCACTTACCGGCATCGTCTGACTGCCGTGGAGGCTGCTGATAGCCGCTTGGGCCTCCGCATGGCTTCCGTATTTGACAAAGGCACATCCTATGGGGAGAGAAGGTTGCAGCAGTCAACGCAGAGCTTGGAAAAAAGGTCTCTTTTCAACTACGTCACTTAGAATCCGACCGGCAGCATAACCACTGATCAAGCAAGATGGAGGATCCTGAGAATCACATGATTATTTTGTTCATTTATTTATTTACAGTATTTATATTCCATCCTTCTCACCCCACGGGGGACTCAGGGCGGATCACAATGCACACATACATGGCAAACATTCAATGCCATAGACACACAACATATATAGACAAAGACACATAGGCTATTTAACATTCCAGCTTCATGAGGGAATGCTTTTTGAATTCTGACCACCGGGGGAGCTGTTGCTTCACCATCCACTTGTTACTTTCTCATCCTTCTGCACACTGTTGGAGTGTTCTTATGGTGTCGTAAATTAGTCAAATTAGCCTCCCTGCATAAGCAGTACCTAAATTTCCTACTTGACAGATGCAACTGTCTTTCGGGCTGCATAGGTCAACAGCAAGCTAGACAAATGGCTGGAAGCTCACTCCGACCCGGGTTGACTTCGAACTCATGACCTCTCGGTCAGTAGTGATTTTAATGCAGGTGACTCCCAACCAGCTGTGCCACAACCCGGTCCATTGGGTTGATGGAAACATGTATTATTTTAGCTATCAAAAATGTTTTTATTAAAGAAAAACTTGGGAAATCTGATAAAATATACAGACTGGTCCAAGATAGAGGAATATGAAAAAACGAGAAAATAAAAAAAACATCAAAAGATACTACTTTTTAATGAAGAAATAAGAAGAGCCAATTCCTTCTCTACCTTATTATTATTATTATTATTATTATTATTTTCTTTTTGGTATTTTAATTAAAGATGAAGAATTTTGTTCTTTTATCACTCTCAAATATAGAATATTCTAGTATAGACAAAGACAAAACCGCAAAGGACTGGATGGAAATCACCAGAAGCTTATTAATTAATTATTATTATTATTATTATTATTATTATTATTATTATTATTGGGTTGTTGTAGGTTTTTTCGGGCTGTATGGCCATGGTCTAGAGGCATTCTCTCCTCCTCTAGACCATGGCCATATAGACCGAAAAAACCTACAACAACCCAGTGATTCCGGCCATGAAAGCCTTCGACAATACATTATTATTATTATTTTCTTCCCCCCCTTACCCATCTCTTACTATGCATTTTCTACTATCCTATTCCTTTTAATGTTCTCCCACTTTACATGTTATATATATACACACACACACACACACACACTTTCCTGACCTCTCCCCATTTACCCTTGTTACCCTTAATAAAAATCTATATTTTAAAAAATATTTTTTCTGCCCACACTTATTAGTGTAGCCATTTTTGCTCAGTATCAGAAGCCTACTGCAGCATTTCTCCAAAATTTGGGCAATTTTTGCTCGGTATCGGAAACCTACTGCACCTTTTCGCCAAAATTTGGTCGTAAAAACAATCCACGTTTCAAGAACAAACTACAAGAGCAAACACTGGCATGTACACATGTCTAAACAGCTGGAATCAATACTATGAAAACACGGGAGCCAATCTACTATGTAGATGCACCTTCTGCATCTGCAACCTTGACCAAAGTGTTGAACTCATTCCAAAGACAAGACTGTTTCCAGTTGCACCTGAAAGGAGCAGGCCATGAGACTTCACCTAGACCTCTCCATCCCAGCTTTGACGGTTTCCTGCATCGATGAGGCCTCTCCGAGAGTCCTGCTCACCTTTGCTGGCTCCATCGGGGCCTCTGAGGATGGTGCACTCTTCGATCTGGCCGAAGGGTTCAAAAAGCCGCCGGACGTCGTCCTCGCTCTGCTGCTTTCCCAGCATGCCCACAAAGAGCTTCCTGTCTTCTAAAAACAAGCCATTTTTCATTAGTGGGGTGTGTGGGGTGTCAAGGGGCACCAAAAGTAAGCAGAGGACAATGGGAGCCTTGGTTGAGATAGACAACCAAAGCAACATATGACAGCCATGAGGGCGGAGAGAGCTAAAGCCATTCTTATTTTGACCTTGTGGGTAAATAATTACTGATTGAATCTCTCTTGCCCAAAATGCTCGGGAACAGAAGCCTTTCGGATTTTAGAAAGCCTGCTTTTTCATATCAATACATCACAAGATCTCTTGGAGATGAGATCCAGGTCTAATCACGGAGGACAAAGATAGTTGGCCCCTCTCATCTGCAGATTTTACTTTTTGATTGTTTGCGGGTTTGAAAAATATGTGGTTGAAGTGGGCTACAACTTAGTTAAAATACATTGAGATATTATATATATGTATATACACACACACATTGAGAGATTATATATATATATAATTATATATAGTATATATAATATATATACTAGCCATCCCCTGCCACATGTTGCCGTGGCCCAATCTGTGCATATGTGTTTTGTGTGTATATATGTGTATATGTGTGTGTATATATTTGTGTTTTTGTAGTTTTGCACATGCATTGTAATGTATTTTTATTTTTTGGTTTTTTAAATCCCTTCTGCTGTGTTTTTCAGTGTTTTTAGGAGTGATGCTCACTCGTTGGCCTGAGAGGTGTCTTATGTCCAAATTTGTGTCAATTCGCCCAGTGGTTTTTGAATTATGTCAATCCCACAAACGAACATTACATTTTTATTTATATAGATACTAGCCATCCTCTGCCATGCATTGCTGTAGCCCAGATTGTGTATATGTGTTTTGTGTGTGTATATATGTGCATATATATTTGTGTATATGTGTATATATGTGGTTTTGTGCATGCATTGTAAAGTAATTTTATTGTTTGGCTTTTAAAGTCTCTTTTCCTGTGTTTTTGAGTGTTTTTATGAGTGATGGTCACTTGTTGGCCTGAGAGAGGTCTTGTGTTCAAATTTGGTATCCATTTGCCCAGTGGTTTTTGAGTTATGTTAATCCCACAAACAAACATTACATTTTTATTTATATAGATATATATATGGAGCCCCTGGTGGTGCAGTGGGTTAAACCGCTGAGCTGCTGAACTTGCTGACCTAAAGTTTGGCATTCAGATCCTGGGAGCAGGGTGAGTTCCAGCTCTTAGTCCCAGCTTCTGCCAACCTAGCAGTTAAAAACATGCAAATGTGAGTAGATCAATAGGTACTGCTCCGGTGGGAAGGTAATGGTGCTCCATGCAGTCATACTGGCAATATGACCTTGGAGGTGTCTATGGACAACGCCGACTCTTTGGCTTAGAAATGGAGATGAGTACCACCCCCCAGAGTTGGACACGACTGGACTTAATGTCGAGGGGAAAACCTTTACCCTGCATAAATTTGTGTGTGAACCTCAACTCACACCATGCCAGGTTAACTCCGAAAAACTCCATGAGTACTTAAATTTTGTTATGTTGGGTAAATTTGCTCTAGATGCCTCATTGGTGGGGTTCAGTGTGCTTTCTGGATTCAGACTGCACTACTTCTAGGGTGTAGATGTACCCTGGAAAAAGGCACAGGTGGATGTCTGTCTGGGTTCTGGAAATATAAACTGTCATATGAACATTAAGAAGAACTTCCTGACTGTGAAAGCTGTTCAGCAGTGGAACTCTCTGCCCCTTGTGGATTATGGTGGAGGCTCCTTCTTTGGAGGCTTTAAAACAGAGGCTGGATGGCCATCTGTTGGGGGTGCTTTGAATACAATTTTCCTGCTTCTTGGCCAAATGGGGTTCGACTGGATGGCCCATGATGTCTCTTCCAACTCTATGATTCTAGGTTGGAGGTTCGAATCCAGGGAGAGCACAGATGAGCTCCTTCTGTCAGCTCCAGCTCCCCACACAGGGGCATGAGAGAAGCCTCCCACAAGGATGGTAAAACATCAAAGCATCTGGGCGCTCCCTGGGCAACGCCCTTTCAGAGGGCCAATTTTCTCACACCAGAAGTTGCATTAATTCTAGAGTGTAGATGTACCTGGGAAAAAGGCACTGGTGGTTGTCTGTCTGGGTTCTGGAAATATAAACTGCCATGTTTTATTGCAATTCTGACTATTAGGAGCAGTGAAAAGCGGGGACCAGGATTATTGGCTGCTTAAATTTGCGTTGACACCAAGACGGAGAGCAAGAAAGAGTCGGCTTGGAGGTCAAGGGAAATCAAAGCGGACACAGATGAGATGGAGAGAGAGACTGTTAAATAAAGTAACCAACAGCTGCATGGTTATGATTGACTACCCGAATAAGCGGCTGTTGTCAGATATGCCCGAGGGATATAAATAACTTAAACATCACTGGTGTGATGGTAAATAATGAGAGTTTCACGATTATTGCCAGCATCTGTCTTCGGCGGCCTGCATGCCAGCTTCGGGGCTGTCATGGCATTCGACAATCGGAAGAAAAGAGAATTTTTTTCCAGGGGAAATAAATAAATAACAGCAAGGCACAACATCAGACACAGAGAGAACAAATGGAAGGCCTTGGGTTCATGCTCTACTTGCTTAAAGAGGAACCGTCTCCTTTCAAAGCAAAAGCAATGGTGGCCTTAACACCTGCCCTTGATTGAGCCCCAGGCTTTGGGATGGCTTAAACGGAAGGTCCCAAACTCAATAATGCGCGCCCTTCTGCCTCATGATTGGCTTAAGATGGGCTTTGAGTGGCCTGAGCTGCTTTGAAGCAAGGTGTTATGGATCCGTGTCCATGGGAAATGCAGGTTGACACCGCTTGAACTGTGGCTCAGTACCATGGGATGATGGGAGCTGTAGTTTTACAAGGGCTTGAGTCTCCTCTGCCAAAGAGCACTGGTGTTTCACCAAACTACAACTCCCAGGATTCCACAGCACTGAGCCATTGCAGTTAAAATGCTCTAAAGCAATGTTTCTCAATCTGGGGGATGGGACCCCTGGGGGGGGTCGTGAGGGGGTGTCAAAGGGGTCCCCGAAGACCATCTGAATATACAATATTTTCTGTTGGTCATGGGGGTTCTGTGTGGGAAGTTTGGCCTATTTCTATCATTGGTGGGGTTCAGAATGCTCTTTGATTGTAGGTGAACTATAAATCCCAGCAACTACAACTCCCAAATGTTAAGGTCTATTTTCCCCAAACTCCACCAGAGTCCACATTTGAACATATTGAGTGTTCGTGCCAAGTTTGGTCCAGATTGATCATTGTTTGAGTCCAGAGTGCTCTCTGGATTTAGGTGAACTACAACTCCCAAACTCAAGGTCAATGCCAACAAGCCGTTCTAGCATTTTCTGTCGGTCATGGGATTTCTGTGTGGCCAGGTCTGATTCAATTCCATCATTGGTGGAGTTCAGAAAGTTCTTTGATTGTAGGCAAACTATAAATCCCAGCAACTACAACTCCCAAATGACAACATCAATATCCTCCAATCCCACCAGTATTCAAATTTGGGTGTATCGGGTATTTGTGCCAAATTTGGCCCAGTGAATGAAAATCCATCCTGCATATCAGATATTTACATTACGATTCATAACAGTAGCAAAATTACAGTTATTAAGTAGCAACAAAAATAATGTTGTGGTTGGGGGTCACCACAACATAAGGGACTGTATTAAGGGGTTGCAACATTAGGTAGGTTGAGAACCACTGCTCTAAAGGTTCATTCATTCTACATTGCAGATGCATCCCTCTTCAGTGGCAAATCCAATCTGTGTTTCAACCTGTAATTGAAAGGAGCTATCCAAGGTTATGAACCCTGTTTTAAAGTCAGTAGCAAAATCAGAGGTGCATCTACACCAGGCATGGGCCAAGTTGGGCCCTTCAGGTGTTTTGGACTTCAGCTCCCACCATTCCTAACAGCCTCAGGCCCTTTGCTTTTCCTCCTCAGCTACTTAAGTGGCTGAAAGTAAACTGTATTATTCTACAGCGTAGATAAGGCATGGGCCAACTTTAAGCTTAGTTCACCTTCTGCTATCAAGAATTCATTGACTGCACATTGCTTAAGTCGCATTGCCCAACCGTCTGTGCAGGGCTCCATACTTCACATTTTAACAACACAATCATTCAATGCTAAGGCTTCCTGCCAAAATGGAACTGTAGAGGAGAGTCTACTGAACAAGCCAGTACCTGCCGCATACCAGTATTACCATCTGTTGAGGAGTTACGAAGGTGGAGGCATTACCTTTTCTGCTAAGGCTTCCTGCCAAAATGGAACTGTAGAGGAGAGCCTACTGAACAAGCCAGTACCTGCCGCATACCAATACTGCCATCTGTTGAAGAGTTATGAAGGTGGAGGCATTACTTTTTCTGCTAAGGCTTCCCGCCAAAATGGAACTGTAGAGGAGAGTCTACTGAACAAGCCAGTACCTGCCGCATACCAGTACTGCCATCTGTTGAGGAGTTACGAAGGTGGAGGCATTACTTTTTCTGCTAAGGCTTCCTGCCAAAATGGAACTGTAGAGGAGAGTCTACTGAACAAGCCAGTACCTGCCGCATACCAGTACTGCCATCTGTTGAGGAGTTATGAAGGTGGAGGCATTACTTTTTCTGCTAAGGCTTCCTGCCAAAATGGAACTGTAGAGGAGAGTCTACTGAACAAGCCAGTACCTGCCGCATACCAGTACTGCCATCTGTTGAGGAGTTACGAAGGTGGAGGCATTACTTTTTCTGCTGAGGCTTCCTGCCAAAATGGAACTGTAGAGGAGCGTCTACTGAACAAGCCAGTACCTGCCGCATACCAGTATTGCCATCTGTTGAGGAGTTATGAAGGTGGAGGCATTACTTTTTCTGCTAAGGCTTCCTGCCAAAATGGAACTGTACCTGCTGCATACCAGTATTGCTATCTGTTGAGGAGTTACGAAGGTGGAGGCATTACTTTTCATTCAACCCTCATAGGTTGGCAGCACAGGCATTTGCAGATGGAGACATTTAGGGAAGCAGAAGGCAAATGAGCCGCTT